AGCGTACCAAAAATTGCGCAGGTATGCTAAAGAAAAGAGATAAGTTGTTGTGTAGCGTATTTTATCATTTTTAGACATTTTGTTATTTTATTTCATTTTTTTGTTAGTTTTTCTAATATTTTAGATTTATGATCCTTTGTAAACCAGAATTGCTTTTTGGACCACCATGATTCAAAATAATTCTTAAATAATTTAAAATTAAAGGAAAAGTTTATTGATCAATAATAGAGAACGCTCCTTATTCATTAAAGCTGGTGTGCTCAGTGGAAGGAAGAGTGGTTACCTCAGATCCAATTTCCAGACAAAAATGATTAGCCATCCAAAAATTCTGAAAATTTCCCAATGAAAAAAATTTCCATACATGACAAAAACTCTTCCTTCTAGCAATAAGTCTTCTCAAGGGGATGTCACATGCACCCTTCCAACGTCCCACCATAGTGACGGCCCTGAAAAAAGGAGCATAAATAGGATACTAAAAAAATTATTAAGGAAGTCTTAGCTGTTAAATCATCATTTGAACAAATTCCTCGAGAAGTGGCCAGAGCTACATGCTGATGTTATAACAAAGGACTATGCAAAATCAAGCCTCTACCTTGCCAAGGGAGAGAAATTGAAGACAGAAGGGAAGACGCAAGGTCCGATAGCTACTTTTAACGGTACTAGAAAGGGACAAAGTTTCTACTTTTATTGCGCTTTATTTCATTTTACAGCTTTAGCGAATTCTCGCAATATACCAGTACCAATATATTCAGAAGCAAAGTACATTTAACATAATAAAACATCCCGAAGAGCAACAAAAGATTTACAAGGAGGAGTTCCAAAGTGAATGCATGATAACTTTCGTTGCCATAGACTAACAACTACATTTATCCTTCATATCATGGCTGAGTTGATTTCCCACGTTTTTGTTGTAATTCCTTGCCTTTCTTAAAGGGGAACTGAAGTGAAAAACGATTTTTTTACCACTGATAAAGGTTCACGTGCTGATTCCAAAACCGTTTGAATTTTTTTAATACGTTATGTAGTTTTTAAGTTATTAAGTTTTTAAAGTCGAAATTTGCCCTCATCGATGGCGGAGCGAAAACGCGGTCGGACCACTGTGTCACGTGACCTTGTGACGTAAAGTGGTGGACACGAAGAGATGTTTTGATGTAATGTAGTAGTGAGTTTGATAAGGTTCATGACAGATAACAATCGTGAAAATTGTGATAAAAGCATGAAACTTGGTGAAAATATAGAATTCGGTATGCGTAACAAGATAGAATATAGAATAATTTTGGGAAAAAAACCCTTGTGCTATTTTTAGCCTGGGGTACTTGTGCCCAGTACTCAGAATACGTTAGTATGGTAAATCTATTTCTGTTAACTATACAACCATGAAACTTGGCAAACCGACAAAATTTGACTTGCTGAAAATTATAAGAATGGTCCTCATCCTCAGAAATACCCCTTGTGCTATTTTTAGACTGGGGTACTTGTGCCAAGTACTCAAAATACGTTAGTATGGTCAATCTATTTCTGTTAACTATACAACCATGAAACTTGGCAAACCGACATAATTTGACTTGCTGAAAATGATAAGAATGGTCCCCATCCTCAGAAATACCCCTTGTGCTATTTTTAGACTGGGGTACTTGTGCCCAGTACTCAGAATACATTAGTATGGTAAATCTATTTCTGTTAACTATACAGCCATGAAACTTGGCAAACCCACATAATTTACTTGCAGAAAATGATTGAGTGGTCCCCACCACTTCAGAAATACCTCTTTCGCTAGTTTTAGAATGGGGGTCCTGTGCCCAGCACTCAGAGGACATAACTATGGTTAATCCATTTCTGTTAGCTGTAGAGCCATGAAACTTGCCAAACCTACACAATTCGGTTTGCTGAAAAAGACAAAAGTAGTCCCCCACCTCAGAAATACCCCTTTAAACATGATTTATCATGCTTTGTCTATAGAACATGATATCAAAGCATTTTCTGGTATAACTCCAGGCACAAAAAACAATTCATACCAGGATGTACATAAAGGAAAAGGATTAAAAGCACAACCATTAAATGATGTATATGTTTCCAAGTTTATTAAAAGACCTTATCTTAACAAAAGATAAGTCAGGGTTTCTATCTCATAACTGTTCTATGAAAAATGTTGAGTTGAAGCAAATTTCAGAAAAATATAACCATTGGGCACCAAAAAACTTCATTCTCAAAATTTGAAAACAGTGTATCTAAACAACAGGCAGTGACAGAATACATTAAAAGAACATTGTACTGTGAAGGTAAAACATTTTCTTCTGATTATGTATAAAAAATGTTACCAAGCAGGTGGTACAGGACCATTATTGTAAGAGAAAAACTTTATCAAATCCAAACTATTCTACACATTTTGATGTGAGTAAAATATCTTGAAAAATATACCTTAGGAATCTTGAAAATATCAAGCCTTGCTCAATCCCCAACCCCTCCCCCCCTTGATGTGACTAATCTAGTGATTTGGCCTAGGGCTGACAAGATTTGGCCATTGCCCCACTAGTTTTAACAAATTTCTAACTTATAACATGACTCCACTAGTTCTAAATTTCTCTTCTTGCTATTATGAACTGAAAGTCTGGTCCCTTTGAATAACCCCTGTATATAACCCTGTACTCCATTGTATATGTAGTAGGTAGCTGAGTTTTGCATTTTCATTGTCTCTCTGCAGAATTTTGAAACCCTTGTCTTCTTTGACTAAAATTCTTTTCTTTACATTTTGTGATAAATTCATACTTAAAGTTGTCCAGTTTTTCCAGCACAAATACCCAAAAACCAGCAAACCATCCATTGATCGGCCACTGTTTGTAGATACCTAGCAAAATGGATATAATTTTAGGTATTAATCTATTTTAGGCATATTTATGCAATTCTATTAAATATTTGACATTTTCGAATTATCAGTCCAAAAATCTTAATTGCAGTAAGATTTAATAATACTTGTCAATGTACAAAAAACAAGCCAGTTTTAAAACCAAAGTGGATTAGGTCGACCTGTTCCGTGCTACACATCAAACTATGTATAAACGTTTTATATCAAAGGAAATATTTATTAAATTGTAACATGTAATAATCCTTATTATTTCAGATTTTAGAAATGGAAAGATTATAAAATGTAGCCTACATTCTCAGTTGTATCTTACTTTTTATAAGGAAATAAGGAAATTGGGTTTGAGTTGTTCTTGCCTTCATTGTCAGAAAAGAAACAAAGATCGACGTACCATTGATTTACTTCCTCATTTCTACCGACAAAACGAGCACGTCGCGGGAGATAATTCATCCTCAGCCTCTGGGATCTCATCGGGCCTAGGCTAATCTTCATCGCCACTTTCGCAGTTCCCGTTCGCCCTTGGTAGGCAAGTACTTCACCACCACATGCTCCAAATTCATCGTCGCTCGATCTTAAGTCTGTTGTCATTCCTGAAGAGCTGTCGTGAAAATTGCGAACTGAAATTCTAACCACTAAACGAAGTCCCTCCCTCCGATTCACTCTACTACCTACTACAATGTTGTTTTCGTTGCGATCGGGGCACGTGTCCACGACTTTACGTCAGCGCCTGAAACTTGTCTCCAGACCTCTCCGCCACCGAAATGGAGAAATTTCACACTTCGCGTGGTGAATGCAGGAAAACGAAAAGAAAAACACTAATTTCGTGTCGATATTCTAAATCAGCACGATGAAAACTACTAAATAATTGATTTTCATTTTTCACTTCAGTTCCCCTTTAAGAGGTGATGACGAACAAGATTAACTGTATTAAAAATTTAAAAAAATTATCAGCAAAAATAAGTATCTAATTATATCAAAGGAAACAAATCTTTCTAAATCATTAAAATCTGCTTTAAAGTGCAGGTTCTCCTGATCCCAGACTCGTGTAAGCACCAGCCAAATTGGTTAGGTTCCTAGTTTCTTCCATTCAACCATTTGATACATGACTCCAAATGGGCCCAGAGCTGGTACAGAATTGGTACCTTTTCCGTGCATGCGGGGTCTCAAGCAAAGCCTACTACATTATTAAATTATTATTAGATCCACTGTTTAATCTAAACGCTATATTTCTAAAGCTGAGCTAAGAAAAACGCACCATTATCAAATATCAGGAATGAAATAATTGTCTATGCATGTTAGGTGTTTTTTAATCTTTCTAATTATAAATAGCTAAACAAGAAAACGGCTTAAATTTTATGAAATCGTTTATAGCAGTGGCAAGCTTGCACACTCTAGCAAAAAAGATAATTAAATCAGAAAATGACGAATCTGCCAACACAAGCCATGAAACAAATATGTGCTTATCAGAAGAGTTTCAAACAACTTATCTTCAAGGAATCGTTGCTTTGTAGCGGTACATTAAATTAGGCCCAAAACAATTATCTGACCTGGTGTTTTGTTATGAATAATTTGGTAACACACATATTTCAAATGAATCAAACTTTACCGCATTTTTGTAAGAAAACAACAAATTTCCTGTGTATATAATATATTGTGTCTGGCTACATGGCAATGAAATCTCTCATGGTTGCTGGGAATTGAGAGCAAATATTTTTACACTATGATCTTAGTAGCATCCTATGTAAATCTTTTTCTAATTATTAGTAGATTGAAAAGTTTTATAACAGATGATATTAGATCGACATTATATCAACATTCCAAAATGACTCCATAACTTTTTTAGCAAAGCAGTAAAAACTTGGAAAATGATTGGAAAATGATTCCCAATAATGAATGAATATCAGAAGCTAATTTACATACCTACTTCTAGAAAATTATTCCAAAGTGAAACTCAAATAATCATTCCAACTTTAAATCTACGAAAACCGGTTTTATATATTTTATCTCTATGCCCATTCTAAAAACTAGTGCGTTGTAAAATGTCCATATCATCCTATTTATGAGCAAATGCTGAGGAATTTGCTTCAATGTCTCTAGTGGTGGTCCCTTCCATGCTTTCTTCTGGAATAGAATCATCAACATAGTTTTCTGAATTGTCTAACTCAAGCAGAGAAATAAAGGAATTGTGAATAGTGGGAGGTTTTGAACTGGCCATTCCCGTTGTCTGTTCATTTGGCAATTGATATGGTTTGAAGTAATTCTGCATGAAGCTGACAATCTTCTTGCCTTTCTGGGTATTGCAGCCATTTGTCAATAAGTTGGAAAAAGAAGTCCTTTTATTTTTCGAATGGAAATACTGCACAGCAAACATCGAAAAGCCTGCCAAAGCAGCAAAGCCACCAGAAATAAAGAAAGCCAGGGAATAATTTCCTGAAACCGTGTACAAATATCCTGAAATGAATTTATATAAAAACGAATTTATATAATTACACATAAAGAGACATGCAGAGAAAGAGTCGCATTAAGAGTGAGGATCTGAACTGTGACATTAAATTTTCTGTTTTACGCAGCCTGAAAACGAATTCAAATCTTAATTTCTGAAACAGCTTGCTCCTAGAAGCAGTATCCTTCTTTGGTCCTATCACTCAATAAATATCATTTAACTTACTTCTACTGTGTTTTTAAAGCTATCCAACAAATGCCTCTATATTCGGGTACATAGATCAATACTATTTAACATATACTTTTGAACGAATTATACCTGTTTCTTTATGGCAAATAACAGGTTGAACATACCTGCAAACGGTGGTCCAGCAAGGAGGGCAAAGCAGTTGCAGATAAGATATATACTGTATCCTCTATTAAATTGCTCCTTGGTTAACAGATCTCTGACGATAAGCATAGTACACGCTGCCATACCGCCATCAACAAAACCATACAGTAATGAATACGCAGTGAGCCAAATGAAAGAGGTCAGTATTGGGACAAAGGTCGTTAAAACAGCTGTGATGATTGCAGCCCATTTGCTTAGAGAGAGTTTGTTGCCTTTTGGAAGCGATGCAAGCTTACCAAAGGTAACTTTACCAACAGCTTGCGCAAATGAAATGATACCTGGTAGAAAGACGGCCATATGATATGGAATGCCTGCATCCATCGCTAACCGCACCTAAAGTAAACAACAATCATTTTTCGGTTTCTAAATTCACTGTTCTTAACAAAGGAATAATCAAGAACAAGAAAGAAAAAGAAGTCAAGGATAGATTACCGATATTGTTTGTGTCAGTGTGTCAGATGATGCAGCTTTGTTTATAAATTCGAATAGCTCAAGGATGTTGAGTGACAGAATAAGGTAAGGAAAATGAGGCAAATAATTTCCACTCACCAAATGCACAAAGGGTATGAAGATCCCAAAACATGACAACATGGAAGCAATAGTATACATGATGTAAGCATAGTTTCTTAGTAAAGGTATCTCTTCATTTCTACTCTTGGTCGTTATTTCTTTCCTTCTCTCCTTCCTGCACTTCAATGGATTAGACCCAAAACTCTCCCCAGGTCGCTTAAATAAGACAGATACCGCTATTATAACCAGTGCAGTCACGCTAGACAGCCGCATTCCACTGCTGAATCCATACTTTTGCAAGATGAAACCGAGACCAGGAGCCTGAGCGAGGCCTCCAAGGCTATTCCCGCACATCACTATTCCGTGGGCCAGTGATAAGTTCTTTTTGAAATAGAGGGGCAAAATCAGCAACGGAGCAAAATAACACAAACTTTGTCCTATCGCAAACACAAGTCCAAGTGTGAAATAGGTTTCGAAAATACTGGATGCAAATGATGTCGCCACGAGTGAAAGGCCAATTAATGTTCCTCCAAGTAGTAGTGAGAGTCTATAGCCAACCAGGTCGAAGACTCTGAAGGTAATCGGCGTCAATAGGAACAACATTGATAATGACATGGAGCCAGTCCAAGCTGCAAAAAAGTTCAATAATCATATCAAAATAATCTTACAGCTGAAGACTACCAGTCTCCTCGCAATTAATGCGGGTGTTCCTTAGGCCTAAGTAACTTTTACTCCAGAGTGATATTGGGGATAGCAGTTACACTACGACGCTCCGCTTGCTGAAACGCCTTCATTCCTTTTCATTTCTGGTAAAAATGCTGATCACTCTACAAAAATCTTGTACAATTTTTGTGAAAATCCTATTGTTTTAGCTGAAAATCCACAGAAATCCTTTTGTTTTTGGGAAAATCTCGTACGGTATTTGCAAGAGTGAATTGCCCCTCATGTTTTGCAAATCAGTGCTCTCTCTTTTCAAGTCTTATTCTCACACAGTTTAGAAAGCTCGACCGTGTCCGATTCGTATAAAATGTTTAACGCAGAGGACCTCGTATAACATTTTTGATCTCCTGGGAGTAATGTCCACGAAAATATGGTCTTTGATTATGCATGATGATAGGAATAGGAAAACATACAATATTTTCCCAGGACGAACAACTAAATGATTACGAAATGATTATGCCAAGGCGCTTATTCGAGACACTACCTTAAGCTTAAACGAGGCAATAAATTATAATATTTCTTTACAACGTCAATCTTAAAAACTCCATTCTCATTTCGGTTACCGTAGTAATGTGAATTAACACCGGACCTCGAATAAACGCCGGTATCGAATAAACGCCGGTATCGAATAAACGCCGGGCAAAGCCGAAGGAATCATAACAAACAATAACATTGTTATCTGAAAATTGATGATAAAGTTAAACAAATATATTGGCTACCGATGCAGTCGAGCTAGATTCGTTCTGGAACCTAGGTCCTTGTAATGAAGAATAATACGCCGGAAAAATAATTTGATTTTGAAATTAATACCGGTGTGTATTCCAAAAAGCACTGTAGGCCGAGGCCGTTTATCTCAAGGCTGGAGGCATTCGGGAAAAACCGTGGCCCTGGGACGAAACGTTTTTTATGCTCATAACAATTGACAATGAACACAATATAAAAAACTTTACCACAGGAAGCATGAAAGGGCATCAGGGGCGGATCCAGAGCAAATTTGAAGGAGGGGCAGCTGGTAATGGGGGCGGTGAAAAATTTTCAAAAATTGGTTACCAGCGTACGCTGTATACAACAATTTAAGATACCTTTTCAGAATTAACAACATAACTTTGAGGTAATCCTTGAAGCGAATTAACCTATCAGTCCAAGAACCTTTTTCATCTGATTCTCATTCTTCAAAAGGGGTGCACAATTTCCAAAAAGGGGTGCCAGACTTGCTTCAACTCGTAGAGGGAGGGGCAACTGCTGATTTCTCCATAAAAAATTTATTAACAATGAAATAGATTATCATATACACATTTAATCATAACAAAGTAAGAGCAAATGATGGCATGAAAGTATAAGGAAATTAAGTTTTCGGAAAATAATATTTCTGGATTTAACGTTTTTGGGTGAATCCATGAGCATCTTTTTGCCAAAAACCAAGTTGAGGTTAATCTGCAAAAATGTACAAGAATCTTTTGAGATCTTATAGCAATATTTTCAGCTTATAACAGCCTATTGATAACCACTCAAAATATGGCAAATTTGCTTGATATTTGTCAGAAATACTTTTTATATGTCATTAAATTGAGAGAACATTCTATAAACATGCCAGCGATTCGCAGTCTCATGGAAATCAAAAGTCTCAAACGCTTTTGAACAAAATTCGTAGCGATTTCGGTGCGAAATTCGACTGGTGGAAATCATAAAAGGACAGGAGACACGATTGTTAAATGCGTTTGAGCCAAAGTCGGAATGCTTCCGAAGCTGTCAACATGAAAGCATTAAAAAGTGTCGTTTTTGGTTCTTCGTAGTTATTATTAGTCCTAGGGTCATAGGGTCTGGCTTTCCCAGTATGCTAAACTCGTTATCTTTGTCAAAGTGGAAAATCGAGAATACTTTTCAGGTTTGACAAAGATAATTCGATTTCCGCTTGAAAATTCGAGCACACTGCAGTTCGTGTGTGAAATGGTTGTCTGGTTAATGTAAAGTGGGATAAAACAAAGAACGATTTGATTTTGGGTGTTGTGTGGCGCCAGAAAAATGTGTTAATTGCTAACCATTTCCGTTTTCCAGAGTCTTCTTGCTCTGGGGTGGACGACGGAACGTTTGAGGCACTGAACAAGATTTTCGCAAATACTTCCGACGAACTTAATCCCTTTGTTCGTAGACATAAGGGATTAAGCTCGTCAGTAAACAAACGCTGATTTTCTAGTGCGCCCACCAAAATTGCTATTGAACGAAATTCACTAATCTCCGCCATGCTGCCGAAGAGAAAGACGATCTCTGGAAAACAGTAATCATTAGCAATTGACGAATTTTTTCGCAACACAGCCCACACAGAGTACATGTTTCGGTTTTAAGCAAAAACCTTCGGCCGTTCTCACCAGATTCAAAGGTTGAAGTGCGTTATAATTTCAGATATGGATCGGAGAAACAGGCGAAATCCAAATCTATCACAAAGCCAGTCATTCCTGACACGGAATCGACAAAATAACTCTCGAATGCCGTATAATGGACAACCGTTTCACCCTGTGATTTATTTTGGGAACCCGATGGAACACAATTGTTTAATGGCCTTTCAAGACCCACGATTTCAAGAAAATGCACAAACAACAGCGAGCTCTAACGGTGCTGCCAGCGAAAATGAGCAGGACTTGGGAAAATTGAAAAAGAAAAGAACGGAATGGTCCGAGGAGTCCACGAAATACTTATTACAGTTATGGGCGGATAACTACAATTATTTAAACAGTGCTCATTCTCGAAAAGCTTGGAAAAAGATAGTTCAGAATTTCAACAAAACGTTTGACACTGAAAGAACATTCGATCAAATCAAGCGCAAGGTAATTCCAATTGATGTTTACCATCTTTTATACAAATTCAAATCAAGCTGCCGGAACGAGCATTGATGACTTTTGTTTTGATAGAACATTAGATAACTCGGAAACTGAAGTCCCTCCCCCCGGGGGTAGGGGTTATCATTTCTTTTTCATTCCTAGAGAGGCGGCTTATGAAATAAAAATGCCTTTGTCTATTTTTTGGTATGAAGTGTCATACAAATGTTTCTAGAAGCTCCCTTAGTAGCTTTGAAAGTCTAATTGATAAACTGTAAGTTCCTTATTTTTATCAGAATAACCAGGATCAATTGACAACCAGGTCATTCCATATGAAAGACATGTAACCCAAAGTCTCAGAATTTGCTCATTTTTATTGGAGAAGTGGATAATCATAAGATAAATATTTTTCCAATGTCTGCCATTTTAATTTAAGCCTGATGTTAAAGTTACTAAATAAAGGCCTTTATTTATCATCTTAATTTTGAAAAGCAGGTAGTTTGAACAATTTATGTATCATGAAATCAAAATTAGCTATAGAAAAGCTGTCAGACACACCAACAGCCTTAGATTAATCAATTTTAGTGTTGTGGCTGGTGGTTGTTGTCATAGCAAAAATTTGTTATGCAAATTTTTGTCATGTTGCACACCTGTTATCAATTTCAAATTTTCTGTGCATTGAGCTTTAGCTAAAACAAATTTTTCACAAAAACTTAGTAGAGTTATATTTGTTTTTATTAAAGTAAAGACTTTCGTTTTATGCAATTGTTGAGAGTAAAGCAAAGAGTCATTCCATATCAAATTATCAGATACTTTCAAGATTTCTAACCCATGGTCTTAGAATTTCCTGATTTTTTGCCACAAAGAGCAACTTTGGAGAAAACACTACATGAAATTTTTTTTATGAAATCCTTTTTGTAGCTGTTTCAAAAGTGACCCATTTTAGCCAAATATGCTGCACCCAGTTTACCAATCGATGGGTGGGGCTTTTTATCAAAAGCTAAAACTTTTCTATATTTGTCCATATTTGCTCGTATTTCAAATACTTAACCAGAATTTGTCAACTTCCTTTAATAAAGCAGATAATCATGTGTAATTTGGGGTTCAAGATAACCAAGACTTGTTTGAATTTATTCCTAACTGATGTGAATATAAATATTAAAAAAGTCTGATAGCTTGAATCATAGCATAAAGGGAGCTTGTAATATTCTGAAAGTGTATTCTTTGGAAAATAGGAGACTGTTAAAAATGGGAGTATCTCAGTTATTTGCACCTTAAAAACTGGGTATAATATCACAAGAATTGTTAGCAAAAACATATTTTTGTTTAAGGAAATACCCCCCATGAAATACATTGAGCTGCGAAAAACAATGAATCAATCATTATTTTATTGTCAATGATAGCAAAGAATAGTTACAAATGATCCTTAGCCGTGGAAAAGTCGACATGCCACTTCATAGTCATTGTAGTTGATGCTGTAAGTTTGACCTGTGGTTTTTTTGGATGAATCAATCGTGCAAAACATGTGTAAATATGAAACCCAGCATATGTAATGCTCGGATTGGGTCCTGGTGGGTGCATGATGTTTATTTGAAAGTCCCTTCATCTTCATTAATATCAAGAATCAAAGCAGCTCAACAGTCATTGTAACACAGGCAAGTAACATACTTGATCCCTCAATGCCGTTCTCTGTTTTTTAGCAGGGCTGGCAAAACAGGGGGGGGGAGTGGTGGGGTGGCAGGGTAGCCATGGCCCCTCCATTTTTCTGCAGAGCAAAATAATTTTCTTAGGCAAAGTGGAAAGAATTCTAGTCTACCATTCTGTAAGTGTACATAGTAATATTTTAAAAATGACCTCAGATTAAGCTCTGTAACTATGTATTTACCAAAGAAGACAAAAAAAAATTGAAAATGGGAATTCGGTCAAGAAAGTTGGTCATTGTCCAAGTGGTACAACAAGTACAGCTTAGCTATGGGAATAAATCGAGAAAACTGATTCAGAAAGACTTTGTTGCCTGCACCAAATGATGGAGTCTTGTTTTTTCTATAACCTAAACTTCGCTCCCAATGCCTGTTTGTTGGCAGGAAGTTTCTCAAAAACTGTTGAAGGAAAAGAAACTGCTGGAAAGAAAAATTTTAAGAATATGCAAAATGAAGAATTTTTATTGCATAATCTTTTATTTTGAGTTGACAGTGATTCTTTTGATATTTCAATGTTAATGGTTTTGTTAAAGCTTGATTCATTTATTTTCTCCTCCATTTAATTTTGGCTCCTTTTTAAATCTAAAAAGCTTGATTATGAGTATACTCTAAATAAGTAAGGAAGAAAATGGTGCTTGATGTGCCTAGAACTGAAAAGGCTTTATTTTCATAAAGACAAATGTAATCCTGCTTTTTTAGCAAAACATTTCCTTATGGCTAAAGCTCAATCTGACATCTTGTTGCTTTGACAGCAACCGCTCCCAGGGCATACGCCACCAGGGGGCCGGAGGGGTCATTACCCCCCCCCCCCCACTTTTTTGGTAAGCAAAAATATTTACAAAGAAGCCCTGTTTTGTAGCAGTTAATTCAAGTTCTATTCAAAGAACTTGCCCCCCTCCACCTTGAAATTCGTGGCGTGGGCCCTGGCTCCTCGCCAACTCATTAATTAAAGGCTCTGGGTATGTCTGACAAATTTTCAATAACTGTTTTTGGATTCCTGATACATAAGTTAGTCGAAAAGAGGCCTTTTTGTGAGTAAATTAGCACAATTTTGGCATTTCGCACACCTAGATGTTTTTGGAGTGTGATGGAGTGCTTTTGTGTTTTGTCCTATTTCTACAAAGGTTTAATGACAAAGTATATGGAGCCTCAAAAACCTTCATTCTTCAGTTTCACACAACTTTCACTATAAATATCTCTGGTGGCATAACCATAAAGGAAAGCTTATGAATACTGGCAGGGAGCTTTACTAAATTTGTTGCCGAAAAAATATTTTAGATGCAGTTCCTAGCAATTCCTCTTGCCAACAAAAATTGTGTCAGTCTTCATGAAACCCTTTAAACTGTTAATATTTTGGCCCCAACTTTCAATAGTGTCTCATCAAAAGGGACATGAAAATAGTTTTGAAAATGACACGATTTGAAAACGGCACGATTTGAAATTGGTACGATTTGAAAACGGCAAGAAATGTTTCAGTGCAAATGCTTGAAACAGAACAATTATATTGCAGATTTCCCTCTCTTTGAATTGAATCCAGACCGCTATCGTTCTGTTTCCAAGTGTAACCATTGAAAATTTCATGTCACAACCTGCCGTTTTCCAAGTTTTTCCGTTTTCATATGAAAAGAAAACATCATTAAATAATTTGTCATCGAAACATCTCTTCTCTTGATAGCAGCTAATCATGTATTGTAAGCTGACTGAATCACCTTGTAAAAATAATGTGGAAGAACGGGACATCCTCGTCGGATTAATATGCCATATTGCGTAAACCCTTCTGAGGAGAGTTGTTTAGCGTTGCGTTGCGTTGCGTTGCGTTGCGTTGCGTTGCGTTGCGTTGCGTTGCGTTGTGCTCCGCTTATCTTTAACCCAGCTGGCGTGAGGAACTGGATACTGAAATCACTGGTGTAAAACCAATAGCGTAAAGAAAGCAAAGGCTTTCACATAAAAATTGCAGCTCCTTAGAATGATGGATGCCTGATGATCAGATATTTCGCAGACAACTTGCACCAAATCTTTGTTACATATTGCTCATTGTCGTGGGCTTAAATAGTATAACCAAAAATATCATTATTGCCCTATTTCAGGAATATGGCGAGCTCCTTTTCTGGATTATGGCGGGTCTCCCTTTACTTTTCTGGCTGAAGACGCCAAATTTACGAGTGCAGATCAGAAGAAACGCGGCCCAAATCTTGTCTAAACTGGAAGCCTTTTGTTTAAAAATTCAACTTAATTTACCATTCGAAAATGGTATTTCAAAAACATGTGCATGCTAAAACAGATCTATGATAAAAAATGCGCTCTGTCCTAACTACTACTAGCTCTGATGCTACGGTCATTTGATCCGTATTTGATTGCACTCCAGTGTCGTCACAACAGCTCTTCAAGACCCAGTACGGTGGACAAGACCGTGCATAAAAGAAACGCAAAACAATGTCTTGTTTTTTGGTCACCTTATAGTTTCCAGCGCTTTGGTTAAAAAACAAACAAATGATTCCAAAAACAGGCGTGCGATTAAACACACTCCTCGGTGTGGGGAAGCGTGTACCAGCGCGTGCGAGTGCGACCGGACGCCTTTCCCGGGAAGATCTGGATAACATGATTTTTTAAATTAAGATAGTAAATAGAGGCCTTTATCTAGTATATTTAGCATTAAGATTAAATTCAAAATAGTGGACATTGGCAAAAATGCTGAGAATCAGAAAAAAATCAAATTGCTCTATTTTTAGAATTACAAAAGATGGTGAAGTAAAATTTTGTATGTGTGTTTATCTCATGATTATCCACTTCTATACCAAAAATGAGCAAATTCTGAGACTTTGGGTTACAAAATGAAGAATATTGTCCATTTCTAAACAAATTCGACTGAAATGCACACGATCTTATTATCATCACACCCGTTGAGAGACCCACTAAATGCGCATGTTTTCCTTGTTTGACAACAAAGGCTAAAGTGGGGACGCTTAATAGAGAGTGGGGGCTTAATTTAAGGTTTTGCTTGATAAGGAAGGGATAAATACAGAAAGGGGGCTTAATAAAGGGTCTACGGTACTTAAAGTTTCTTTACAAAGTTTTTAGTTAATGATTTGGGTGCTCTGGTTTCAAGAGTATAAAGAAGAACTGTATGATATAAACTAATTTTGTTCTTTGTTTCATTCAGGTTAAGTATCACATTGAAAAGTATAAGACGGTGTGTGAGTGGAACAAAAGCCAATCTGGAGGTCAAAACAAAGATTGCGATTTTTTCGAAGTGATTGATGGTGTCTTGGGTACCGGAGAGGTAGTTAATTTTCCTTATGTTGTTGGTGCTGGTGTCGAGAATGAAAACTCCGATGATCAGTCTCAAGATGTGCCGGATCCAGAAACAACATATTTAATTTTAGGTGAAAAAGATACTCCATTCTTTGCCGTGAAAAAGGAAAGTGACTTGGTTCAAGAAGAAAGTCCAAGAGAAGAGGCGCCATTTACCTTATTTGAACACACATTAGAAACAGTAGAGCCAAGGGGACCAGAGAAAAATCTGGAGGCTGCAAAGTCACCTCACATAGATAGCAGACATGAAAGAAAACGAAAGAGAAAGGGTCGCGTTAATGAAGACGAGAAAGGAGGAGATGGGGAAAAGAAACTTGAATTAGCATTGGCAAAAATGACTGCTCAAAGTGAACAACTGGTTAATGTAGCGGAAAGAATGGAACAAAATTCCAGAAGGCAAACCGAGATTTTGGAACAACTGTCACGCGGCCTGTGTGCATTTATGACCAGTCACACAAGAGATAAGATGCCAAGGCTCAGTACCCGTAGAAGAAAGAGACCAGAGAATCTTCAAATGCAAAGCGACTCTGATGAAAATGAAATATATTAATCATGTTTTGCTACTCAGTGAATGTTATTTTATGTTGTGTTATCAAGTTATATTGCCAAAGTACATATAACGTAAATCCTCGAATCGACCCCCACCCTCGAAAAAGCCCCCATCCTAAAACTACAAATTGTCAATAAACCCCCCTCGAATAAGCCCCCACTGCTAACGTAAATTTTCGAATTGAAACCCCTCATTTTGATGGTTTTTGCCATCTGAGGTTGCCTTTAACGTTTTATTGAATTACCAAAAAATTCATACTTTTATAATAATTGATTAAATTCTCATAAAGAAATTCCTGCTACAATAAACGAGGCCTTTTAATAATGTCATCTTAATATCTACAATAATTTTATAAGCCCCCCCCTCAAATAAGCACCCATAAAAAAATATCAAAAATAAATAAGCACACAGTGGGTTAATTCGAGGATTTACAGTATTGATCTTATCAATTAGAGACATTAGAAGTTCTTGGAAAGTTCAAAGGCAATCCTTTCTATAAAATTGGGTGTCTTTGACAATATCAGGGCATTTTCTGTATGTTGACAAAAATGCTGGGGGAATCACGCCCATTACCCCCATTTGACTACTACACTTATGATCTCAATATTTCCATCATTGATTTGTATTTATAAGATAGTAGCCACAAGATACACAAAACAGAAACTGCTTAAATTTGGATTAAATTGATTGATTCTTGAGATGACCAAACCGCTTGAAAACGATGTTCTTATTAAAAGGTTTTTCAGATTTAGTGATGGAGTCATTCCATGCCAAATCTACAAGCTAAAGTGACCTTTGACACCCATTATCTCAGAATTGCTTGACATTTTTACAGTGTTTAGATCTAATAAATTTATGAGAAAATCCAAAATTTCTGTTAAAAATTCTAATTGATTGCTGAGATATTCAAATTTAAATTCATCAATTTTTCTGCCAAGATTGCCATTTTTAATTTCATGTCTGCCAAACACTTCTCTATGGATTAATTCCTCTATTAATTGATTTATCAATCCAAATACAACTTTGCTTATACATTATAGGGTATTAGGTTATCTCAGAAATATCAATGCTATTTTCTAAAATAATTCCCTAATGCCCCCCAAGAGATGAGGCATATTTTGCCATCTTTTGAATCTCAACATATTGATAAACTGGGATGGTACTCTTCTCTATTTTTCATTTATTCTTCACCAACTTTTGTAAAAAAATATGTTGATAGTTGAGGCAATAATGACTTTGAAATTGTGTAACAAGTTTGATGTTTGAAAGCCTCTTTTGATATCTTATATCATAATTTAACATCAAAATAGGTTCAGACAATTTATCAAGTGAACCTGTTTGACAATCTTGGAACAAATGAGTTATTAAGATTGTTAAGATTTGCCAACAAAGAGCTAAAAGTACATGTGTTAATAAAGCATATTCATTATTCAAAATTATTTGTCAACCAGATATACTAAGTTTTACCTCAAGATATTAGTTAAACAAATACAGTACAATAAATGTTTCAATATTTCATACTTATTTATCTCGGATTGAATCAAAAGATGCTCATTACCTGTAAATTAGTATTGGTGCCCAGATGAAATTGCAGGGGCCTCAATAACACAGGCAAGATGTGTTACTGGTGCAAAGCACTTATCCTCTCATCTAAGCCAATGGAATGACCTTGATCAAAAGGCTGGGTGCATAAATTTTACTTTATTTTATCAGTGTTTCATCAATGTGTTGTGCTATATCAATCCACACATGATCGTCTTAGTGACTGATCAGAAGGTCAGAAGCTTTAGTATTTTCTTTTCCCTTGTGTCTTGATAGTGTAGCTCCTAAAATCAACTCATACGTTATTTCATATCCTTGATCACTGGGAACTTCTTTTGCTGCAATAACACTCCTTGACAGTGGTTCATATTAGTGGTAAATATAAGTTCAAGGAAGACTTCCAGCTACCTGCTCATTCAAATCTGTTGGCTGTTTTTCAAGAAAAAAGACCTTAACCCCAGTTATTTTCTCCTGACACAAATTAAAAGCATCCTTTGATGTCAAAATTTGTTGATTGAGTGGTCAGTTACTAAAATGATCATGTGTGGCTTGGTATTGCATGCCACATTGATGAAACAAATGGTGATATTAAAGTAAAGTTTATGCACCCAGCTTTTCGATCAAGATCATTCCATTGGCTTAGATGAGAGGATAAGTGCTTTGTGCCAGCTTGCCTGTGTTATTAAGGTCCCTACAACTTTATCTGGGTGCCAATTAGGGAATGATTTTAGAAAATAGCATTGATATTTCTGAGATAACTAATCACCCTATAATGTATGTGCAAAGTTGTATTTGAATTGAGAAGTCAGTGAATTATTCATAGAGGAATCAATCCATAAAGAAGTGTTTGGCAGACAGGAAATTCAAAATGGCTGCCATGGCAATTTTGGTAGAAAAATTGATGAATTTTAAATTTGAATATCTCAGCAACCAATTGGAATTTTAAGCTGAAATTTTAGAATTTTTCATAAATTTATTAGATCTAAACACTGTAATTTTTTTAAAGAAAATTTGAGATGATAGGTGTGGCTTGTTGAATTGACTTAATGGTAAAAATAATGTTTCCTTGGGCTTTGAAAAGATTTATTGAGCTGTAATGACATTAATTTATATTTGAATGGATTTTTAAGAATTTATGGTGTGACTTGCCCCTTGACTTAATAAAATATCAGATAAAAACAAAATGTAACACTAATGCACTGAAACCTGATTTACAGAAAAAAATTCAAAATACATTGATCATGTTATATCTTTGTTATTCTTAATGAATGCTCTTTAAAAAATCAATATTGCTAATTTATGTTGAAAATATATTCTTTTATTGTTTCTCTCAGTTCTTTGCCATTAAATCGATCATTTTCCCCAGATATAGCAACTTTGGTATCATTTTCCACTTCTGGGATTTCCCATTCATCTCCATTTCCAATGCAGATGTTGTGCAAAACACAGCATGCAACAATTATTTGGTTTGATCGCTCTAGAGTATCATCTATTTTCTTCATTAAGATCTGAAATCTGGATTTCAAAACCCCAAAGGCGCATTCAATTGGTACATGAGCCCGAGAAATCTCGATGTTAAATTTTTTCTCAGCTGAGTCAGTAGTGCTGTCAGAGAATGGCTTTAAAATAGAAGTCATCAAAGGGTAGGCACTATTACCAACAAGGTATGGAGAAACTATTTTTCCGTTAACTTTTACTTGAGGAACAGAAAATCCTTCATCAAGAAAACGAGATATTTTGGTATTTCTTAAAACTCTGGAGTCGTGCATTGAGCCAGGGAAGCCTGCTACAATGTCAAGAAAACGGGTGTGACCATCAACCACACCTTGGCAAACAACATCATATTGATGGTATCGGCTGAGGTAATCTTCTCTGTTTTCTTTAGGGGCCTTTATGCGTATATGGGTTCCATCAATTGCACCGATAACATTTGGTAAACTTGATCTCTCAGCAAAAGAATCAATAGCATTTTGTTTTTCTTGCAATGTGGAAGGAAACTTTATAAAATTACCTTTAACAGTGTCCAATGCACTCACACAATCTTCAAACGCTTCTCTAGCAGTTGTTTTTCCAACATTAAAAACGTCTGCACAAACCCGGTACGAAACACCATGGGCCAATCTGTAAAGTGCAATAGCCAAAATTTTTTCTGGGGAAAGAGATGCTCTGAAATTGGTGTTTTCTCTTGTGATATTATTCTTGCAAACCCTGGCTAACGCCCAAAATGTCGCTTTTGTTACGTGTAAACGACGTTTGAATTCGTATTCAGGTATACTTTCATCAATAATTGTGTGTTCTAACCAAGAATTAGGCGGGCGAGGAACTATCCAAAACAGTTGTTTTCGCTTCGATTTTCGTCTCTGGCGATTGCGGATAACAAGTTGGAGATTACTTTGTTGTTGTTGCTGAGCTGTGATTGCCATCTGAAAACATGGCAGTTGGGAAACTGAATTCAAAAGCACATTGGCTGTGAGAGACCATGCAGAAACGAATTCGAATACATCTTCCTCGTCCATGATGTTATGTTACCTGTCTTCTAAAGTCAAAGTCAGTGTTCAAGGCAGGTAAACCGCAACCACTTTTATTAATCACACAGCAAACAACCATTTTCAACACAATGCCATGCGCAATAAATTTTAAGCGGAAATCGGATTACCATTGTCAAAGATAACAGTGCGCCCAGGACTTAATACTTCAAACGCTCCACCCTCCTGTCCCAGAGCATGACGAGCCGTGGAAAACGGAAATGGTTAGCAATTAACGCATTTTTCTGGCGCCACACAACACCCAAAGTCAAATCGTTCTTTTTTTATCCCACTTTACATTAACCAAACAACCATTTCACACATGACCTGCAGTGCGCTCGAATTTTCAAGTGGATTATCTTTGTCAAACTTGAAAAAGTATTCTTGATTTTCCCCTTTTAAAAATACCGTATAATGAGTTGTATGTCAGAAACCAGTGCGCCCAGGGCCATTGTTGTCAAAAAATTTTCCTAACTTAAGATATACGAAAAAACCGCAAAGCAACGATTTCAGACTTGAACTAAAAACTTTGGAAACCTTCGTTTACTTTGGACTTTTTCTATTTTCAAAATTTCTATTAGTTTAAAACATTTTCTGAAGGGGCGTTGCGACCGGGGGGGGGGGTGTGGGGGTGTCACACCTCCAATTGTATCCTGGCAGAAAATTTCAGTTAAAATCCGTTTAGTTGAAAAAACTTTTGAGGTAATTCAAACACCCTCATGTTTTTTAAATCAATAAAGGATCAATCAGGCAAAGGTACAATGCCTGCCAAAAGTCTTGGAACACTGACATCAATTTCCAAGGTCAAAACCAATCATCCCCCTCTCCCCCACGGAACAATGTTGGTTTACTATCAAACGGATTAGAATTTTAGGAAGCACTTTCTTTTGCGCTTCTTTTATGATATTTCTCTAAATCATCAACATTGTTTGAGGGGGAAGGGGGCGGAAGTAGCAAATTTTTTTCATGAAAGGAATGAAAGATATCAAATGCAGTGTAAATTGGTGGGTGTTCCAAGTACTTTTGGCAGGCATTGTAGTTGCCCCGTTGGTTACATCGGAGGCCAAAAGCCGGGCCCTCCTTGGGTAAAGTTTGTCTTGTGTCAATTTTTCCTTCTAGACAGGACATATAGCCTGACAATCTGACATTCAAGCTAATGTTTGCTTTCTCGACGGATTTTTGTAGTAGGGAGTCTAGGTTTTCATAATCTGCCAGGTGACTTTTTTGAAAATGCCTGGGTGTCACGGGACTGATGACGCAATTTAACGGTAAAAAGTCAGACAAAATAATTGGTAGCTCTTTACTGGAGTTTCATTTTTTGACGCAAGTTACATATCTTGACTCGTCTCGTTGCAAGCTTTCAATTGATGTTTATTTAAGCATGATTTGTCGACATCAGTATTTTCATTATGACGTCATCATAAATTTCGCATGACGTCATCAAAAATCTTATTGTCATTAAATGATGAGTTGGCATAACTTCGGCTTTCTGGGTCTTATTTTTGTCACAGGTTTGTTTATGAAGGTCTTTGTCAACATAAATGTCAACAGCAGGGCTGGCGAAACGTATTTGAAAGTGGAGGGGCCAAATATCAAAGACTTGAAAGGGCTTAGGAAAGGCTGTCACCATGGTTGGCGACAAGAATAATTATAGAGTTATGGTGTCTTAGGGATGGCCAGAAACTGTATCAAAATAGATTTTAACTGAAGGAAAATCCGACGCAATATATTTAAGCTTTGTTTTATCAAATATGCCCCATACTCTCATCTCTTGTAATGTCGACTTTAAATTGGAAAGGTCTTGCGAAGTTTTAGAAAATAACCTTTATAATATAGCTTGTAACGAAAGTTCCTTTTTAGATTTTATAAGTATCCAAAAATGGATGGGGGAGAAAAATAAATGAAACACGGTTTATTAATGAACATTAACATTGGAATATCAACAGAAGAACTATTAACTAAAAATAAAATATCAAGCAATTTTGTACCGTTGGGATATTATTTTGTAACATTTGATCCTTGACATTTTAAGAAATATAGTGCTTTTAACAAAAAAGGTTCCATTCTTGAAAAACTTTCAAACTTTGCTGGTAAAACGAGCTTTAATAGAATTTATAATTGCGTCTATTTTTTATTATTTGGAATAGATTATCGATACGATCAAACTTTGTGTTTCTTGATGATGCTTTTAAAGAACAAATCTGCCAATAATTTATTTCTCATATCCTCAAAAATGTCCTTTACAGCTGTTTTTCCTTCGACGGCTAGTTTCTCTTTTTGTAATGTTTCTGAGAAGGTCTTCGTTTACATTTGGACCTTGTTTGGTTAGTTTAGGCCATATAAAAAACGAAACTCCGTCAATTTGTGCTGGCACCAGGAGATTCTGGGTCAGGTTTCTCGATCTATTTCCTAAGCCAAGCTGTTACTCGTTGTACAACTTGGACAATGATCGACTTCTTTGATTAAATTCCCATATTTATTCAATTTCATATATGTCTTCTATGGTAAAGTCATAGCAACCAAGCTAAAGCCATGGGAATTTTTAAGAGATTACTAAGAGAATGATATAGCACATTTCTTTCCACTTTTGCCTCCAAATTTTTTATGGCAACGCTCGTCGTCTAAAAATACTTCTAAAAATGACACCCGGCTTCAGAATTTCTGGAAAAAGAACAAAAGAAAACAAAAGCTCTCGTGCCAGTTGCCATGATTGCCAGAACACCACAAAAACAATGGGCGGGCAGCCTCTTTGCTGTTATTTTTGAATAGAAAAAAACGAAAATCAGGCAACCGGCCTTGGATTATATCCTTTGAACAGATACCCGGCCTTAGAATAAATTGCTGAAAATGATACCCGGAAAGACGTGCACATCCCGTCAGCAAAATACACTAAGTGGCCCCCCCGGGATTTTGCCTCACCAGCTCAATGGTTGATTGTTCCATACAGACCAGGGAGATTATAGTAATGGCCGCCGCGTGAAAATACCAAAGCTCGCATGATCTCAAGGGCGGTTTGCAGAAAAACGATTATAAGATATAAACACGCTCCTTCCAAAAGGAAATTTTTAAGCTCGCGATATATGCAGCGGATGTGTAAGATCACAGGCGACGGCAAAATGCCTCTTGGTATCTGGCCTATTATTGCTGACCAGTTGGATGTGGCGACCCTTTATTTGAGACGCCCACTTATCAGTCCAATTGATCAGTCGATTTGATAGATAGTCCTGTTTGTATAGACATTTGAAAATTTTATGGCGAAGCCCTACCAAAAATTTTAATTTTAGAATTTTAGAACTTTGCACATATTAGAAGAGGAATAGAGAGTAAAATGAGAAAATGGAAGAACAATTGAGCAATATATCTCACGCAGATAAAAACATAACAGAGGAAGGCCAGAGAATGCCTTCCTATTTCTATCCTGTTAGCAGTATGCAGGCAGAATTCTTTATTGACTTTGTTGATTGGCGGCCTACCTATACAGGGATTGTTTAAAACAAGATTTTATTTACAGTTAGCAAGTTAAATAGTTAAAAATCTTAGAAATAAGCAGCGAATTGTATTTGTTTACCTATCAACGCGTTGCTCTCTGTAAACTTTTCCTGCATCGACACATAAATGGATCCGAACCCGCGGTAAAATCCAAACGCTGTAAACTGGACTAGAAATGCTGAAGCACACAGAATGCACTGAAAGAGAACTTGTTTTCTGCTTTTTGTCCGTTCTACGTCGTTTTCAGCCATTTATTACCAGAAATTTCTTTGCTGATAATTTGGAGGTCGGGATTTTAATTAGAAACAGAGAAAGTCCTGAGGTCTATGACATAGATCTCTTCTGTCTAGCCAGGTACACAGGTCTAGCTGCAGGTACTTGACGCCCTTTAGCAGTGCTCCTTGCAATATTTCGCTACGGCGCATGCGTTTTCCTTTGCATTTACCTTGCATTTGCAGTCTCCTTGTTTTCCCCTACATTCCCTTACAACTTTGAATTTTCCCCAATCCCTACACAAATATGCAAAAAAGTTGAAAAACAAAGCCAACGGATCATGTACTAAAATTTTATAATAAAAATTGAAATATTGAATAATACTTTTCAAATACTGTACAGTGGCGGGTTGGCCTTTTTCACCTTGGGAGGGAGGGGGCTCAGCAAAAAATGGTGCCCTTCATGACCAGCATTAATATCTTGTTTCTGACAAGATTGACAGTCTGGTAAAGCCCTCATGACTCTTAATCTTGTCAATGACACACCCAGGGGCTTCACTTCATATTTGTTGGTGAAGGGAGGGGGGGGGGGAGTAGCTGCATATTTGCCCTTCAGACAAAATTGTAATAGTGCTAGTTTGGATTTGCGTAGTTACGTAGCTATGTAGCTTTCCATTAGTTCTTGTTTAGTTATATTTTGGGCGTGTTACATTTTGAGTTAGTTGGAGTTGGAGATGGAGTTGGAGTTGAAGTTGGGGATGGAATTACGGTTAAGAGCGATTAGGTTAAGTTTTGATATTTTGTATATTTAGGTTCTCGACGTTTTATAAATGTGGCAAGATGCTTGTAAAAGATCTTGTCGGCATTAACTATGGATTTATAGGATAGGTATTGTTAATTGTGGCACTGCGCGTGACGATTATTGTGGATTATATGCTATGTTTGAGAGGACAGTGCTTGAGAAAGACTGTGCCTGACATTAAAAGAACGAATCGATGTTACGGGACAACCGTAGAGAAACATTATATTTATAGAACCTTTTTCGCGGAAAGATCGTTTGATCTGAAGAAAGACGTTTCAACATTATCATTGTGTCTATTTGTTCCATTTCTCATCGATGGAAGGACCATTTAGTCTCGACGATAACGATAGGATGGATACATTCATTTGGCAAATAACCCCATTACAAAATCTTGCCCTGGCAAAAATTGGAAATGTTAGGAACTGGCCCTCAGTTCCCATAACATTAAACTACTTCTAAAGGTAAGTTGGTCCCGCTTAGATCCTTGCTCAGTGTGTCCACAAGTTCACCGATGTGTTTGCTTAACCTTGGGGAAGCGAGCAAGATAAAGTTTTTCAATGAGTGAGGCAACCCCCCATCCTAGATTCAAAGATCATGCGCTCATTTTCTACAACACACTTTCGATATACACACTAGCATTTCACAAGGTGAGGGTATCAAAGCTTCCCTCTATGCCCTCAAAAATCATTATGGGGAAACTACCCTGCTGCATATAAAATACAACAGATGGTGATTTTTATTCTCAAACATAGTTATATTGCCTTTACACTCTCTTTTTGTAAGAACACTTTTATAAAAACACGAGCTTCAAAGTTGATCAAAAGTTGAGAACAAATTAATAACAAGCTGAGGCTGAGCTACCGTAAAATGTAACTTTGAGCAATGCTTCATCTCAAAACGAGGAGTTTTTTGCCATCTTGGGATGCTTTTTCGGGAACAATTCAAACATGGTGGCAAATGAAGGTTTTCCTGGACACCTCCCTAGAGTAAAAAGGTAGCAATTGCATTGCTTATACCTATAAATTAAAGAACAAATTAAGAACAATTCAGCCTCAGATTTTCGAAAAATTTTGAACAACCAGCCTGAACTTCAATTTACTGTCTCTTATAAAGAAGATTATAATAGTAAATTTTATTAACCTCCTTTAAGGTACAGCAGTGGGAAAAACCTTTGCCCCAAATTATGCCAACATATTCATGACAACAATGGAACAACATATCTTGAGCAATGCCCCGATGGGTTGTAGTCGAATATTTTGGAAAAGATTTATCGATGACATAATCTTCATCTATCAAACATAAGCTTGAAGGCCTACAGGAATTTATTCAATACACCCTATATCATCCACAAAAAATAGAAATAAAAACCGTATATAGTCGACTCCCTTCTCAAATCACGCTTCTGGTTACAATCAAGAAAGTTTAGACCCAAGTATGCAAAACCATCCCATCAAATATTGACCCCAAAAGCCCCGTTTACAGTGTCTTAGTTTTCTGGCAAGCGGTGCTTGTCTTTTTAGTATGGTTTTTAAATTAGATAAAAATATCAACTAAGGGTGTAGCCATAGAAATGGGTGTGACACTTAAGGTGAAAAGGAATCAGAATCAATTTAGAAATCTATTCCATCCAGCCCAAAGTCACGCTGGCAATTTCTACTTCGTGTCACTGGTAGTCTTTATCATTTTACTTTTGGAGTAGACAAATGACAAGCATAACCTACTCTCTTGTTACAGTTACATAAGAAAAACAACAAAACAGATCCGTTGGTAGAAAACATTTGCCCTGCAAAAATCAGTTTTGCCCTGCGAAAAGGTCCTACTTTCGTGTTTGGGGGGGTTGGGAGTTGAACCCTCAAGTGACGCCCCTGGATAGACCATAGTCAATGGAAAGCCCACGCCCAACAGAGAACTACCAATTCAAGTAGAATAATAAAAGATTCGTCGATTTCTATAATTTCCTTTTTCCAAATTCCGTCACTAAACGAAAGAGACAACGAAGAAACGAAATAGAAAAAGTTTGCTGCGAGAAAAGAATGGACAAGAATTGTTTGTGGAACACGTGTAAGGGACAGCGATCTAAACAGACAATTCAAAGAGAACAAAATTTTTTTTGTGTGAAACACATTTTAATCAGAGCGATATTGACGAATTTCCTACGCGTGAAGTACTTCGCACAGGATCAGTTCCCAGCATAAATTTGCCTGGGAAGTCGCTAGACGATGGCGAGGTGAAAGAAGAACGCCGGTCGCTTGTCAGGGATCTGTCGCTGAAGGGGAAATACACACCTTTTTCGAAATTTATAAAAGGAGTTGAAACCTCGAAAATTCGTCCCTGGTTATATGAGGTTACAGATCGTCAGGTGAATTTCACCTTGGTCGACAAATAATTTTGGGTGCCCCGGTTTTATGTGAGCATTTATGATGAATTTTCTGTGGCATGCTTTCACTATGGATGGAGATTGTCTGACATTAATGTGCCTGAGATTTTTAAATTTCCATCTTTAATTCAATAGAAAGTGCTCCTGTCTGTGATGGGTTACCTGCTGGGTTTATTGGCAACAATACACTTAGTCATGTAGTACCGCAGAGACTGCCCTCCCATTTATCTGCAATAATTTTGTGCGGAGCACAGCCTGTACTACACTTTTACAAAACAAATGCAGTGCTTTGTGCTTTTCCTGTGAGTCACTGATTGAGGCAGAAAAGCGAAATTCTAATGTGGTCACTGAAAAGAAGATTCATCCAGCAAAGAAGAAGGCACCTAGCAGGGCCTAAAATAAGCGTGGATCTAACTTACTTTGTGGAGTTGTAAATTAAAATTGTGGACCTGTAATTGTAGAAAGTGTGGATTTATAAGTAATGCATGTTCTTAAAAGTGCAGCATAAAATACCAATCGAAACGTCTAAGAAAGAAATGGGAATATTTTTCCAATTCGCAATGAATGCCCAATCTCAGCCTTATGTATTGCACTCATTTTTTATAAGAAAATTACGATAAGAAATAAGCAATGGATAAAAAAGAAGAATTAAGAAAATTCAGAGCTCGAAGCTTCAGTACATGCGGAGAAAAATCAATTGCGCTTTATGATATTGTTGTGTGCTATTTTGAAGTAAGACGGACTCTGTATACAGCTTTAACTTCAAGACATCATCTCAATTTAGTTTACTTTTATGACTTGCTTAAAGGGCCACTCCAGCCCAAAAAATTTTTCTGAGATTTTTGCATAAATTGGTAGTTAGTCGAGAAAAAGAAGCTATGGTGAAATTTTTTTTCGAAAAGCTTAACTCGTTTTCCAGATATAGACGCTCAAAGTTGAGAATCACCGTAAAAATAGGACAAAATTTTTTTCGGAAAAAGTACTTTGTGACGTATGAAGGGACCATTGTTTCAACATTCGGCGCTATTGTTATACGTTCGCACTGAAATTCGCACGACTCGGTAGAGGCTCGGAAGAGGCGATTCATGTCGGAATCTCGGTTGTCGTTTTATTAATCTTCCTTCATTGCGATTGATGTTCAGCGGAGGCTTCCAGCCAACATGGACTAGTAATTCGACAAATCAAAGATGGAAGCTTCAACCTGAACGCGTACCCTCATCTTGGCAACGCAGCAAGCTTTTTAATATGGAATGCTTCACGAATTTTCAGATGTGAATGGATTTCTGACCGAAGGCATTTCTTATCGTCGTGTCATCTCAGGAATTTCCAGGTTTGTCTGATGTTTCCCTGAACCCTTTTTCTTCATGTTCTACCATGTTCTGCCTTCAATTTTGGAGTTCTGCCTATTTCATCATAGAATTGATGCACAATTTCAAAATTTTGCCAGATCAATATCCAGGGCAAAGGATCTACTATCCCAAAGAAAAAACATGGAATTTACACCCTTGGTTTTGGAAAAAAGATGTGTCATATCCTCATTCTAATGTTTTAAAGGCAGAATTGTTTATATTTGTTAAAATTACCTTTGCTATTCTAGCATTGATTCATATAAGCATGGCCTATATCATTTAATTTCATCTTTGTGTTACTTCAAGTTAATATCCTTAGATGCTATTTGCTATAGTAACAGTGGTTGCCCTTTCACCCCTAAATTTCTCTTTGATCCTTTTAAATGTCTATACTCTGAATGCCCCTGAGTGTCCAAGTTTCTTTGATCATTTTATGTTTTAATATGACTCAAAAGTAAATTTCACTGGTATGTTAGTATTTATCCCTGTCAACCTTATTATTCTAGGCATAAAAAAGGTAACAAACTTATTTATGGATCAGCAGAAAGGATCTTGCAAAAAATGCTAGATGAAGGCTGGAGATTACATGCATTCTGTTATCTGGCTACTGGCTTTGTGGGAGTGATAACTTGCCCCTCTCTTCCATGCAAGAGTTACCACAAAGACCTCAACACATAATTCTGTTTTTGTATTAACATTTTTACAAAGGAGACTATTTTTAAAATTATCAAAATTTTATATATAATTTGGTCATATCTATATAATGTTTGCAAATCCACTGCTTTTTAACTAGTAACAACATATAGGTATTTTCTAGAAATTTTGCAATAGATTA